GTGTTTATGTATAAAGCCAGGAGCAATTTATTACCTGGTGGAATTCAAAAACTATTTAATGAAAGGGAAGGGGGATACAATTTAAGGGGTCAGTTAAATTTAAAAATTCATGCTATACGTACAACCAAAAAAAGATTTTGTATTTCTATAAGTGGGGTAAAACTATGGAATAATTTAAGTGTGGACTTAAGAAATAGTAATAGAATTGATGAGTTTAAACATAAATATAAAGGTATGTGTCAATCAAGATATATGCAAGAACAGGCTTAATGATTAATTAGATGGACAATTGTGGGTGTGATGTATGAATGTTAACACTCTGTAATAATTCTTTAGTATATTACTTGTGTGGTGTAGAAGATAATTATTTAAGAATGTAATTATGTACGAATGTTAACACTCTGTTATATTTTTTTAGTATATTACTTGTGTGGTGTAGAAGAGAATTATTTACTGCTTGCAAACCAATGATGGTAAGATGATGTCATGGGGTAGGACTGGATAAGTCTGACTTCTTCCTACTCCATTCAAGCATGTACTAGGTATAAGCACATTGATATTGGATTAGCATTTGTTGGATATGTGTAAAATTATGTGTGTTGACATATCAACTGTCTTTACATGCTTGAAAGAATAAATCAAATCAAATCAAAATCAAATCAAATGCTCTCAGCTTTTACACACTCACCTGGGTCAACACAAGACACTGACAACTCATGCATAAATGAGTAGACACTGTGGATGGCTTCAAACAAAAAGGAGTGGGGATGTGGCCCTTCTTCCATTTCAGGCACATACTGTAGTTCCTGCTTAACACAGCCCCCTCTAGTGGAATTGAAAACATCATCCTTTTTATGACTCCACAGTCAGAGGGAACTACTGTTGTGTACGTAATACTGGCTAAATTGACCACATATGGACCAGAAGTAGGGCTTACTTATTTAACTGGGCATGTATGTGCACAATAACAGATCTGAAGATTTTATTTTGTCTCATTGGTAACAGAAAAAACAGCAGATATATGTAAACTTCAGCAGCTGCTGGACTGTGTGTCCTAAGGATCCTTAAATATCACACATCTGTCTGGCAGTTACCAAAACCTGTGCATTTCTTTTTCTTTTCTTTTTTTAGTTGAATAATAAATCTGTGATTTTAACATCATATAATATTATTTTCTTACAACCTTGTTTGCATTTATTAGATCCAGCTATAGTTTGAATATAGATTCACCAAGTTATGTAAATTATTTGAATTATTTGTGTACATCTCTGTAGGTTTTAAAAGGATTTTATGCGCAATAACTGTTTGCACTGAGCAGAAATGTACTTTCAGACTGATGGTGCCTATACTGTAAAATATAAAGAAAGTGTTAAATTATATGGTTGCATTTTGTACTCTCCTGTGTACTGTATAACAAAGAAGAAAATGGAATCATGTCACAAATGTGCATATATACCACAATAAAATACTAAACAAAGCTAACTAGCATTTTACTGTTTGTCTGTCTATGGAGAATCCTGACCTTTCCTGGTAACAAATGGTTATTGCATGTAAAAATGTACATGAAAATAACAAATTTATACGACACCTACAGTAAGGTGAGCTTAAGTTCATGTATGTGTGCATTTACATGTATTTTACAATACAATTTTAATGTATTTTACAATACTTTTTATAAAGCGTAATAATTCACTTTTCTCTTAAGCAACTTTGCACTTGTTCCATAAAGCATTTTATTTTAAGTGACTGCAGCAGAGGCGTTATGGTTTATTCCAACAATACACTTACACGAATGGAACTGCACTGCAAGACAAGCCTATAATTGTTATATTACGACATTCAAACAAACAGCCTGTCTGCTATTTGCCTATGATCATAGGTTCTGCCACTTAATAAGTGATTTAACCTGTACTGCATAAAGGTTTGCTTCTCCTCCCACAAACATCAGTTTACCCGGCCATTGTTGAGGTAAAGGATGCACTTAACACTCACAGGACAGTATCTTCCTAAGTGCTTTTCTTCACAGTGAGGTCTCCTTCGTATAGGTCAATAACAGCCATTCCTCGGACGCGTTCCAACTCGCTGGAGCGCACGTTGGAATGTGCCTGTGCCTCTGCCTCCACCCTCCGTTACGCAAATTACGGACTTATGTTTGTTACTAGTCAGGGTGGAGTTGCGCTTTTTACGTTGAAATTTCCACATCCTGTACGCGGCAGAAACCAATCAGTAGCCAATCAGCTTTGAGGAACTCGGTTGCTCGACCAATCAGAAGTTCACAATCTCGGGACCTCTGTGATCTGTTCAGCTCGTCCGCATACTGCACCTCTCAACATTTCTTGTGGAAATCTTTAGACAAGACAACCAAGAGACTGTATAGAGAGACCTATAGTTGCCAGTTTTGACGGTAAGTAATATATGTTTGCTTAGTGTTGAATTTATAAAATAAAGGATGAAAATATATTGTTGTTTGACTGTTCTTCCGAGATAAGAGGCGCTGACAAGTTACTTCCTGCTCTTACGAGGCCGAGATCCCAAGTTAAGCTGCATTTTAGCCCGCTTTAGCTAATGTTGTGACTGTAAAAGTGTAGATGTTCGACTGCTTTTTGTTTATCTTGTAGTTACTTAAATTTCGGTTTGTCTGTTTAACAGAGCAGCTCACTTCAGTTAACTTAATGTTGAACACACCACACATAGTATGGAGCTGTATGTCAACTGGATACAGCTGAAAAAACGTAAGCTGTTCGTTAAGGAATTAATGAATATAACAGTTAAAACGTGCAAGGTTTGGAATAACATTGTGGTCGTCAACCTAAGTAAAGTAGAGGTGAATGAATCCACCAAGGATGACTCGTATCATGACTGTAGTGAAGTCTGAAGCCCCAGTGTTAACGTGAAAAACTGGTAATTAAGCAACCGAAATGGGAATAGAAGCGCTGCAGGGGTATACTTAAGTTCAATTCTGCCTGCCTGCTCAGTCTTGGTAGTAGGCAGTCACTGCAAATCCCTGACCATCTGTGGGAGTTGTCATTTTCTTTCCATATGCCACGGAAAGGTTGATTTGTTCAGTATAAATTTGAAATATTAACAGTATTATTAGTATAGTGGTGCTGCATTATTACTTCACCAAGGTTTTCCCATTTTTGTTTGCATGAACTGGGTTGATTTCAGATGTTTGCTGAATAGGGCAAAGCTTTGGTTTTGCTTCTGCTTTAGCTCTGTCTGACTCAGTATTTATTTATACATACACATCGGTGTATCACATGACCATGGGACGTATTTAGGGATGCAAGTAACAGTCATTTTCATTATCCAGTTGTCCTTTAATGTACTTATTTTTAATAAATTTTTAGTCATTTGAGAAGCTGGTATTAGTGATTTGTGTGTTTTTGCTTGATAAGTGACTTAACTTATCAGTCAGTTAAGTTGTTGATTACATTTCTACCTTCAGACAAATGGTTTCAGTGCTAGACTTAGTATCACAGATGCATGTAATACATCTCCACATCCATGCCTCAGTGCTATGTTATAGTCTCAATGTTTCTAGGTTTTCTACATCTTTGTCTCAAATTACCCTCTTTCTCTTCCCCATCAGGGTTGGGTCTCCCCACCCACTACACCCCACTATGCCTTTGGTGACAAGGAATATAGAGCCGCGGCATGTGTGTCGCCACCCCATTCCTTCCAGCATCCGCAGTGAGCTGGAATGTGTCACCAATGCCAGCTTGGCCAACATCATCCGCCAGCTCGGAAGCCTCAGTGAGTGTGGGCTGTGTGTGGCTAAGTATCAGTGTGAATAGTTTGTAACACGTGGCAAATGTGTACGACACGTGTGTATTTTATTTCTATGTAGTTGTGAACAATACATTTATTATTTATTGTGCACATAGTAGTGACTTTGATACTTTAAGCCGTTCAAATCGTAAATCTACATGTGTCTGTTTGTTTTGTAGGTAAATTTGCAGAGGATGTCTTCGGGGAACTCTTTGTCCAGGCTGGAGCATTTGCCGTCAGAGTACATACATTGGGAGAAAGAGTAGATCGTCTGCAGGTCAAAGTCACACAACTGGACCCCAAAGAGGAGGAGGGTAAGTACTCCGACGTTCTACTGTGACCATTACTTCTTATGTTAGGATTAGAGTAGGTTATTTGTTTGAATACAGCTAAATATAAGATAAAATTAAATGTAATACAAATTCAGTAATCTTCTTCTTCTTGTCTGCTTCTTTCAGTCTCTTTGCAGGCCATCACTACGCGCAAGGCCTTCCGTAGTAGTGTGACCCAGGACCAACAGCTGTTCACCAGGCCATCTCTGCCAGTCCCTGTACAAGACACCTACAAAACATGTGATCCACCTCCACCCCTCAATCACCTCAGCCATTATCGGTAGGACTCGGCAGATAGAATGTTACAGTATTTGTGATGCCAGTTTTTCCTGAAAAGTCAATACATGTTCCAAGGAGAAAGCAGTGCAGACTAAAGAATGGGTAAAATCCTTTAGCTCGATCATGCTTATGCTGTACAGTGTACTACATTTTATTAGTCATTATGTTACTGTGTAGATATCTCTGACCTTTTAATCTGTCCAAGCAGATTTTGTTGCTCTTCATGATAAATGGTCCTGGATCATTTATATTAAATGTAAATGGCTTTGCTGAATCAAAGTGAGGAAATCAAGACCTCCATGTGTCACAACCCAGCTGACACATATCAGTGAATATAAATGATGCACAAGGCGTAACATGTTGTTGGAAGTCAAATAATTAGAAACCAGAACAGAAGGAGAGGCTGGGATTGTAGAGCCTGTATAATCACTAACCACACAAGTGACGTCATTGATAAGCAGAGCGTAAGCTTATATTACATTATAAAGACTGTGTGACTAGTGTGAATGTGGTATTTGACCATGACACTTCTGTACGTAATATGGTAAATTCACTCGCTTTTGTACATATTAGATACTGTTGATATGACAAAAGAAAATGACCTTTTTCTAGTAAAGGTCTCTTATGTGAAGCTAAAAAGGAAAGAGTTATAGATTGTTAATGTATTGACCTATAAGGCAGAGTAAGGTCTGTCAGCACTTTGTGTAATAAGGATAACGAGAAGTGTAACTGATGACCTAATGTAATTACAAGTGTAAATATATGCTTGTCTGCAGAGAGGATGGGAAGGAGGCCCTGAAGTTTTACACTGATCCTTCCTACTTCTTTGACCTATGGAAGGAGCAGATGCTGCAGGACACCAAGGACATCATGAAGGAGAAACGCAAACACAGAGTGAGAGACAAGCACAGAGTCGAAACAAATTGTCATTGGTCACAGCCAATAAATGGATTTGAATGAAACACTAATTATTTTCACTGTCTTATTTCTGAGTAGAAGGAGAAGAAAGACCATCTGAACCAGCGGACACTCAATCCTCGAAAGATCAAGACAAGGAAGGAGGAATGGGAACGCCGCAAGATGGGAGAGGAGTTTGTGGTGCCAAAGAATGACATGCTGTAAGTGTAGTGAGTGTGGTTGAGTGTATTAGTACAAAAATGTGCTCTTTCACAGGCCCAGGTGGCTTTGAGTGCATTTCAGCAATAACTTGAAATTAACGGCTGAAGGATGACTTCATGATCTGTTTCTCTATTTAACACAGTAAATGTGCAGAGTGGGTACTCCCCCTGTTCTCATCAGCCAATCTGGACACAGTGCTATGACTGGAATGTCCTGTCTGTTCTCAGTAGTTTGGCTGTAGATCTGGCTGTTATTGGCAAATTGCAATAGACAAATGTGTGAGTCACACCAGGCCTTGTGGTTGATTATTGCATGTGCCATATAATGATCACTGTTGACATGTAAAATAAAATGTAAAAATCTGTGATACCTTCTCAGAGAGAAAGCCCAAATTAGTCACATTTTAGAGTTGACTACATTTACAGATTTTTCTTCTGTGCATTATTTAATCCCCATGGTTTCCATTAAAAAATGAAATGAAAGAGAAACAAAGCACAAAAACAAACTGCGTGTTTCTATACACAGGCAGTCATTGTATTCATTAGCTAAATAGCAGCAGGGTTTTTCCTGGCTCAAAATGAGGCCGAGGTGTTACCATCTTGAACCTGTGCACATGTGCATGTGAGGTTGAAGCAGAAGTCATTATGCTGAAGGAGAAGTCACTCTCTTACTGCTTTTTAAGTTGCTGCACTTTACGGTATGTGTGTTATTTTTAAAAGCTACGTGAGCCAGTCAGTACAAATGTCAGTTCCACTATTTATTTATCTTCTGCTTTAAATGCATGATACTTCCTCTTAAATGGTTACATGCTAAATGTTTCATAAACTAACAGTATATGACCCCAAATTAATGTTGTAAATACCAGGTGTCATTTATCTTGGCTCATTTGCATGGTCAGGCTTCAGAGAATATACAGTAGATGACATCTTTTCTTTTGGGCTCATAGTTATTTCTTCAATTTGTTTGAAGGAATTCTTCTGAGGGCCTGAATGGCAGCATTGGATCTGGAGAAGGCTTCAATTCTGAAGCTCTCGATCAGAGTACCAGCTCCTACGGCTATGACCCACTCTCCCCGCTCTCACCGCCTGGCCCAGATGATTTCCTGCCTCCCCCACCTCCAGAAATGGCGTAAGTAGCATCATGCATATAAGCCCACACACACTTCAAGCGCATTCCTTGCCAACATACAGCTGCACACATCATCTCAAGGTTATATACCCTTGCTCTTCACTTCACGAGCTGCTGAGGCTGCAGCTGCAAAGAAATCAAAGGGTAAGGGAGGGAACCTAAAAGCCCATTTTTCCATTTACATTATATCACTAACCTCCACTCCATCACTTCCAGGTATAATGATGGACAGTATGGAGCGCCAACCCAGAAGCGTGTCAGTCTGCTTAGTCCAAGCCACCCACCTCCTGCTCCCCCCATGGCTTCTCCCACATCTAACTCCCGCCCACACCTCTCCCCTCCTCCTGCCCCTCCTCCACCTCCACCATCCTCTGGTTTTGGGATTCCCCCACCTCCCCCTGGCTTCGACACTCCACCTTCCCCTCCTTCGTTCTCTTCTTCTGCTGCCTATCCCTCCCCACCTGCTCCCCCTGTTTCAACAGCTATATCTGCTGTTTCTCCTCCTCCTCCACCACCTATGCCTGCAGGTGGTGGTCCACCACCTCCTCCTCCTCCTCCACCTCCCCCTGGCCCTCCTCCCCCATCCTTTATTGACTCTGCTCCTCCTCCTCCTTCTGGTGGTGGTGTTGGGGCTCCCAGCTCTGCTCCTAAACCACAGCCAGCTCCAGCCAGTGACGGTCGCTGTGACCTACTGCAGGCCATCCGACAAGGTGAGACACACCAGCAAACAGATCGCTATAATACTGATATTTACTGTCCTCACTGCTGATTGGCTGAATCAAAATTTGAAAAAGGTGAAGAACATAAAAGACACTGTACATTACACTCAGAGGCCACATTGTTAGGTGCACCTATACCATCGTATGCAATTCAGTGCAACACTTCCTCCTTAACATCTGTGTTTATGAAGCTCAGAATGTTTCAGTTTTTGGTGAAATTGTCATAAATGTATAAATTCAATTATATGTTTATTATTGAAGTCATAGTTAAAGTTGGTGTTGTACCGGACTGGACTGCATTAAAAAACATATGCAACAAAGAATCTTTTATCCTTCATTGTTTCTTCTACTTGCTTGCCTCTACTTGTGCATACTATGTTTCTTGGCTTATTGCCTCTGCAGGCTGTGGTTAGGTGAAATATTGTGAAATGTGTGGCAGGTATGTGTGTATTGTTATATGTGTAATATACAAACAGAACTGGGTCCCAGTAAAAACATTGCTCCACGGCAACACGAGTCATCAAGAACCTTTACATTTAAGTATGTTTTGCTAAAAATTCCATGCCTTGAAACATACTGTAGCTGTATATTAATGATATTTCACAGAATATTTGTCTTTACAGTAAGAGAATGTACTTTGCAAATACTCATTGTAGCCATCCTCACAAATTCCTCTTAGGGTTCAACTTGCGGAAGGTGGAGGCACAGCGGGAGCAGGAGAAGAGGGACACCTCTGGCAACGATGTGGCTGCCATCCTGTCCCGTCGTATTGCTGTGGAGTGCAGCGACAGCGAGGATGACTCTTCTGAGTTTGATGATGACGATTGGTCCGAGTGATCCTCATTCCTTTTCACCTTCACTACCGCCTTTGTATCTTTCCTCAGCCATAAACTGTGTCAGAGTATTTCCATTGAGACTAAGTATCAGTGGAGAACAGGTCCATGTTCTGTCTTTGTGAGTAAGACAGAGTGTGAGAATTACTAATCACATTCCTCAGCCAATTTATTTCCATTTATTCAAAAAGAATTCAGATCAGAGGTGCAAAATTTCAAAGATGAGACTGAGTGTGCTGGTTGTGTCCCAGTTTACCACTGCTTTCACTGGATCGATTGGTTTTGCTGTTATTGATGTGAGAGTGCTGTGTGTAGTGATGCACGTCTCTCTGCTGTGCCTGTGCGTAAACACATCACTTCTGTCCTTATTTTAGTGTCTGTTTGAATCAGGTGCCTTTTGCTGCAGCCCAAGTGCCTGATTTTATCTGCTTTAGCATATTACGGCAAAGAATAATAAAGATGGACTACACACATGCAGGCAACCTTTTGTATACACAGTATTTGTATCTACTCAGTGGGAAGACACAAGGTGATGATGTCAAAACATTATCCCTCATTCATAGAATATATGATGTAAAGACCTATTTACTAAAGATAATTAATGCAATCGCTTTAAATTTATTTTGTCACTTTTCAACCCTTTGCTTTTATATTCTGTTGTTTTTTTCTGTGGTTGTCATGGGAACAATTGACTTGTGGATGAGCCATGGTTGTGCCTTGTAAACAAATTGATGAATTTATTACTGAGTGTGGTAGGGGAAGTATTGGCTCAGGTCAGACACCTGGAGTGTTTGATGGCATCCCCATACAGAACGTATGCACACATTTAACATTTGTGATTCTCGTGATATGTTTTGTACTGTGTCTCAGCTCTGTCACGAATTTCCTCCTTCAAATTTTAATTTTTTTCTTTGGATGAACTAGGCTAGTTTTTCTTTTGAACTTTTCTAGGGATACACTAGGCTCTGGTGTTTTAAAGACCGTGCTCTGTGTAGAGTCGGGCGGCCCTCTGCCTTATCCCTGTGCCTGAGAAGTGCCTTTTTGTAGTGCATTTCAGTGATTCTGGTTACCACTCTTATCACTGATCAGCTTCTTCCACAGATATAACTGCCATTGATGAGTCTAATGTAGAGCTCACTAATGTTTAGTGTGGACCACTCTTTTCCAAGTGCCTTTTATTTTAAGTCTGCCTGTGTTAAAGCACAATCACAGCCTACATTGCCCCAGTTCTGCGTCTTCTGCCTTACATTTTAAAATGATTATAGATATTTCAATAAAGATAGTGAAATAACAGTAATTGTTTAGATTTCTTCACAAGAATGTTTGATTTCCATGTATTCTTTGTTGTGTTCCATAAGTTCCCAAGAAAGTCGAGCCTCATACTTTATCCATGACTCACCCTTTTTATGTCAGTGTTGGGCACCTTTTCCACTGTGCCAACTGTGTGGGCGGTGTGAAAATGAATCAACTGAATGAAAGTTTAGAAAACGAGCAGAAGGTGAGAAAAACCTCTTGCATAATCAGTGCATCCGCATACCAAGGCTCCTTTGTAGTTTTTAAAAGGACGCAGTGGGTGCAGAGTGCTAATATAAACACTGAAGATTGCCTTAACTACCAAATAATTTAGGATACAGGAACAGAGATAAGCAGTCTGTGCCTGACTGAGTTAGAGAGTGAGCGATAGAGAGCAAGACAAACTCACTAACGGCCTCAGCAGCAGTGAAGAGAAGAGAGCTGACATCACCCAGTAGAAAAAATGATATTTATTATTCATTGGTATAAAATATTCACTCATTTCAAAAAGGTTGTGCAGCATGAACATATAGTCAGTACATTTCAAAGTGCCCTTAACAGCATGTGCAAAATAGAATCTCAAAGACTTGGAACACTTTGTCTTCCAGACATTCAAGTAAATAAAATTGGGCTTTGGATCATGTACGTCATCACACTGTGATTCGCTCACATTGAAAACCCAGCTTTCTGGTGATCATTAAATTCTCTAAGAAAGGTATATAATGTCCCTGTGATTGTTTGATTCTGGGGATCCAGTGGAGCTACAATTGACTGAGGATGAGGCACAAAGTACACACAAGACAGAACGTTTAGTCTGTGTGGCAATAGTGGGGCTGCCAGCCTTGACGTTTCAGTACATTTCGACTCACAGAAGGAATTCTTGTGAAAGTGTTACTTCTGACAGTGTGAGTATGTGTGTGTGTGTGTGTGTGTGTTAGGCTTTGTCTTCTGGATCTGGATGACAGTCAATGCAGCTATGTGTGTAACTTGGCACACAAACAGTGATATGTCTGACATAGATTGTTGGTCTGTTGAGGTTTGGCTGCACTACACATCCACAGGGTAGTGTATGTGTGTACTATGTGTGTATCTGTTGGGGCAGCAGGCCTGGACCAGCACCTTGCGAATGTCTTTGTTTCTCAGACTATAGAGTATGGGGTTGAGGAGGGAGCTGCCCGCCGCTGGGACCAAGGTGGCCCAGGTGTACAGAGGAGGGCTGGATGCATCTCCCAGCAGTCCCCAGAGGGAGAAAGGCATCCAGCAGGCCACAAACACACTAAGGACCAGGATCAACCGAGAGAAGCCCCTTCCACTGCTGTGTTTGCTTGCATATGATTGGCTGGCAGGGAGGAAGTGCCTTTGGGTTGCGATGGCGTGGGCATGCCGCCTTGCCACACGGCAGATCCCAGCGTACAATTGCAGGGTTACCATGACAACCAGCAGGAAACCACCACATAGCAGCGATAGGTATGTCCGGGTCAGAGGTCGTGCTACAGAACAAGAGTTTGGCTCTCCAAGACAGTGCCATCCCATTGCAGGTCCCGCCCCGATGACACATGCACCCAACCAGACCAGCAGCAGCAGGACAGCAGCTCTGCGACGGGATCGGCTTGAGCCATAGGTGAGGGCATGGCTCAAAGACAGATATCGGTCCAGGGCAACACCCATCAAGCTACAGAGTGAGGCAGTCAGTGATGTTACAAGGACTCCTGAGGTCAGCAATTCTGACCAATCACTGGGCTCCACGCAGAACAAGAAGAGGAAGCGCAGGATCAAAGCTACACCCGCCAGGAGATCAGCCAGGCCGAGGCTAATCAATAGCAGGAAGACAGGGGCACGTAGAGATGGGGTGGCCAAGATGGTGGTGACAACAATTGCATTCTCAGTAGTGATGAGAGTCCCTGAAACACACATAGCCACACCCCAGACTGTGAGGGGCGGGACTTCATATGGAGGTGAGTTATCCAGATGGTCCAGAGGGAAGAAGGGGTCTGCACCTAAGGACTCGTCCCCACCCACATCAGAGACATTCATGGTTGGTCAGCAGTCACACAACCTAAGACAGAGACAAACAGAGAAAGATGTCTAACATTAGTGCCGCTCTATTTGTCCATTAGACAGCCTTTCCTTGATCAGAAGCTGTGATTTCAGCATGTGAAGCCACTGAAGGCTGGATGTGGCATCACTCAGAGCCAAAGAGCACTTAATGAGGGGATGGAGGGGACTGTTTAAGAGTATATAATCTAATGCAGTGGCTCTAAGAATATCACTATAAATGCAGTAAGGTATTTTGATTGTCATGCCCTGTGCTTTCCTGCTCCTAATATTTGTGATGTTATATTAGACTGCACTGGAGATATTAAAAAAGATATATGTAGATAGTTAATTAGCTATTAGGTACTGGGACATGCATTAATTGCCATATGTTGTATTTACAGCCTAATTTATAGCATAAATCTTAACTATATACATTTTTGTATAATAAATATATACAAAAATATGCTCTTAGAAAATACATAATAGGATACACGGACCATTCAAGCTTGGAAACCTTATATAGTCAACCCAAAAGCCTATAATTCCACTTTTAAAATGATCATATTAAATGTTTTACAATAGTCCAGTTGGTTTGTGAAATGTCAGTGACATCATCTGTCTTTCTGAAGTCACGCTAATTGAAGTTATTCAAAATGTCAGCTCAGTGTGACTCAAGAATATAATTACCAAACCAATGCATCATTAGACTGGTGTTGATAAAGCGTTTCTATAGCACGTCACTGTAAATCTGAGCTCTCAATGACTTCAGTGTCCACTTCAGTGGTATTAATCTGCTCATACTTCAGAACCATCCAAACATCTAAACATTATTTATGGTGTGTCTGGCTGTAAATCTGTAAATTCCTTTTCAGATTAATCCTGAGGTTTTGTTCTTGTTCATATCCAAACCTGATGTTTAAGGAGACACTAAGGCATGTGCAACTTGGAGAGATTCTGCACGTACCATGCAGAACATGCTATCTAAAAAAAAGAAACCCTGCACTGGTATTTAGGCTACAGTTAACGAATTCAAGGTTAAAAGGTTAAGATGCTCCTGCTCTCTGGCACATAAGATCTTATGGTTGTTCTTACATGTCAAAATGTGGTGCACGCACAGGAAGTAGCCCTAGCATATTACATCATAACTGTATCGCATTAATTTTATTTAGCTAAATATTCTTTTCATCTTGCTCCTACGGGGTGAGGGTTTGGAGCTTCAACATCCCACCTCTCCCATCGCAGTGAGGTCGCAGCAGCGCCTGGTGCGGAGAACCCTCTTGTATAATATAACTGCAGGTTCACTGCACCACAAAGGATGTCCCCGAAGCACGCACGCACACATGACCACGTGCACACGCGCCGACACATAAGCTATACAAACTAGATAATCAATCTTACCTTATTAGCACGATTCAGTGGCTCCTTTGCAGGTTTTAAACAGGTGTCTTGTTTTATAAGATCCAAACAAAGTGAGAGATGAGGCAGTGCTGTCCTCTGTGATGATCGGCAACAGTTTAGCTAAAGACGGCAGATCTTGTGTATGGCACTGCTCTGTACGCCGGTCTTCATCAGAGTTGTGCCAAACTCTTTGCATCTGCTCTTCTAATTCAGTGTGTCCGGAGCGTATATGGGAGGCACAATGGATGCTATTGCGCGCGGACTCATCCACAAGAGAGTCTGGTTGACGTCAGTGACTTGGAGGCTCGACCAATCAGGGGCCGGCATTGAAGATGCGGGGCGAGAAGGGAGGAGTGAGTACATGGAGTAATTCCATTCAGAAAAATGCGGCATCTCTGTCGCCCCTCCCACTGCGGTTCATTCTCATTTCTGGTAAACAGTGACCACCACTAGACTACCCCCCCCAACACACATTTCTCAACAAGACCCTAGAGCCTGGTTGAACGAGAAGGTGTTTCGTATGGGGCAGGGCTCAGATGTGTCCAGCTGTGGGGACAGAGCTCAAGGCTGGCGCTGTCCACGGTCCTGAAACGCATCGGGATGAGTCATGGGGAGTTGCACTCCTGCAGAGCAATGTGTGAAATAGACACTTATGCAATTAACAAGCGAAAACTGTGCATTTAAATGAACTGGTAAGGAGCACCTCTGCTCAAAATCTTATAACAACAACAACAATAGTAACGATGATGTGTCAGACAAATCTGGATCAATATTCTTGATGAAGCAAGGTTTACAGGGAGTGGGTAAAATTCTTTTATTATTAATAGTGATCGTATTGGTTCACTGAGGCAGGCTGAGTTTTATAGTCTATGCGCAGAATATACATCATAACAGAAACATTAGTCTATACATAATTAATTAAAAGGTAATACGACACAAACAGCAGTCTCAAATTTGAATAAACGCATATCTCAAACAATTTATTATTTATGAACACAGGACATAATGAGCTTGTGTGTGCAAGTGTGATAAGTATAGGTCTGAATATTGTGTGTTGGTGTAGGTAGTGGGGGGTTCCTGTAATCAGAGAAAACCAGGGGTTGGCATTTGTTTCGCTGGTTTTATAATGTATTGATTTGTCTTTTGATTTGAGCAAACACTGGTATAACAGCAGCTGGGAATTCATGGCTTCCCCGGTTCGCTCTTGTGCGTGGGTGCTGCAGGATGGGCAGAACTGCTGCCTACGCGGTCGCGCATATCAATGCGATAATACTTTGGGG